TCAAAGGCCCCGGCTCATTCCTCACGAAGATGTCTGACCACACTCTACGGCTTGGGTTGTGCGATGCTCTCTTGACAATGTGTTGTACCTTACGATTGTTAGATTAGTGCAGAGACCTCGGAGTCTGGCAGAGAAACAGGCACTGTCATCTGAGAAGACCACACCCAGCAGTCCAGAAGTGGAGCTGGAGGATCACTGTGAATTCAAGGTTAGTCTGGGTGACTGAGCAAGGCTATCACAAAGAAACAAAAAGCAAAACCAGAGACACAGAGTAGTAAAGCAAAGCAAAACCCAAGAAAATTCCCCAAGTACCTGGAAACCAAATACCACTGTTGCAAATAACCAGGAAACATTCAGAGGAGAAACTGAGAATATTTAAAGCTGGATACAAATAAAGACACAGCCATATAAGTTTTATTAAGAGATACTGCAGTGGTCAGGGAAAGGCTAAGCACCACTCACTCCCTTTTTGTTTAGTTGTTTATTGTGGTTGGGATAAGAGTAAACAGGCTTCATTGTGGCATTTTATTTTTATTTATTTTTTTTGAGACGGGGTTTCCCTGCATAGCCCAGGTTGTTCTGAAACTCACTCTGCAGACCAGGCTGGCCTCGAACTCACAAAGATCCACCTGCCTCTGATTCCTGTGCTGGGACTAAAGGTGTGTGCCACCATGCCCCGTGGCACTGCGACATTTTAATTCAGTGTTTATGTCATTGTACTTTGTTCTTGCTGAACCCCAGCTAGCTGCCTTCCTCTCCTCTGTCACTGCTCTGTCCCCAGATGTCTCATTTTAACTCCTCCACACACAAGTTCCATTGGGTTTGTGCTGCTGTTCATTTTGTTTTGTTTTAGAAAATTGTACATGAAAGTCTTTTACAAGACATACGGCTGTTAGAGCTATCTGTAGTGACTCATGCCTTTAAGACCAGTGCTTGGGGGGGGGGGCAGATCTCTGTGAGCACAAAGAACTTGACCTACCTAGTGAGGCCCTATCTCAAAGTAAAACAAACCCACAACTCAACAAAACAACAAACAAAATCCCCAAAGATAAACATGACCTGCAAAAACTTCTATTCTGTGGATCTTCGGTCTTTCTCTCTCCCTTTTCCTTTCATTTTGAGGTAGTGTTGCTATGTAGACCAGGCTGGTCTCAGACTCACACCCTCCTGCGGTCGCCCCATGTGCTGGGTTACAGACCAGAGCTGCTGGGCAAGCTCTTTCAGGGGCTCTGAGGTAGGACATGTGACCTGCACTGCATTGTGGTGACAAGGATAGGGTGATATGACACTTCCCTGGAAGAGTGCCCAGCTTTTGAGATGGCTCCCAATTTGTTCTAAGGCTGTTTCATTTTGAACTGTGTTTGGTTCTTGGGTTAGACCAGGATTTTTCTTCCTAAGCAAGAGTTCTACCACTGAACTATCTCCCCAGTCCCTAGGCTTCCTTCATCTTGGTTCTCTTTCCTTTCCCTTCTCCTCCTTATTCTCTCTCTCTCTCTCTTTCCCTTCCTCTGCCCCTCCCTCCCTTCCTCTCTCCCTCCCCGTCTCCCCAGGGATCAAATTGTACCTGTCATGCAAGCACTACACCACTAAATTATATACTACATCCTTTGAATGATTTTTTTTAAAGATTTATTTATTTATTTATTTATTTATTTATTTATCATGTATACAACATTCTGCCTCTATGTATGCCCGCACGCCAGAAGAGGGCACCAGATCTCATTATAGATGGTTGTGAGCCACCATGTGGTTGCTGGGAATCGAACTCAGGACCTCTGGAAGAGCAGCCAGAGCTCTTAACCACTGAGCCATCTCTCCAGCCCCCCCTTTGAATGATTTTTAGTTTGAGACAGAATCTCACTAAGTTGCCAAGGCTGGCCTTGAATTCACTCTGTAGTCCAGGCTAGCCTTGACCTTACAATCTGCCATTTCAAGTTCTTGTGATTCAGGCCTGGCCACCATGTCCAGCTGCAGCTTTGAGTACATATGTATGAACATGTATACATGTGTATACACACATACATACACACACACACACAAACATACACGGGGGGGGGGGGGGAGTATGAGTACAAGATGAGTATCTGTAATCTGGTGCTGGGGAACCTGAGACAGAAGAATTGCTGCAAGTCTGGAGCTAGCCTGGGTTTATAGTAAGTCACAGGCTAGCCTGGGTTTATAGTGAGTCACAAGCTAGCCTGGGTTTATAGTGAGTTACAGGCCAGCATAGGCTATAGAATTATACCTGCTTTAAAAAGCAGACAAATGAAATAAATGTAAAAGCCCTGGCTTTTAGTAGAGTCCTTACACACACCCTGGACTGGGGAGCCATGGGCTGGCGCTGCTTTCAACAAAACTCCTTGCAAAATGGACTCTAAGGGAGACAAATGAGGAAACCTGTTACATGAAATGGATATTTATAACCTGATAAAAGTCAAACAAGCATTTATCAGAAGCAATAAAAATGGAAACACTGGGGACAAGAGCAGCTGGACTCCTGTCCAGCAACGGTTAGCAGGCAGGCCAGGAATCTGGCTACACTGCACTTTCTTTTTCTTCATAAACTAAAATATAATCGCACAGTTTCCCCATCCTTTTCCTTCCTCCCATGTGCCCCACCCCTTGTTCCCTCTTGAAATCAGGGCCTCTTCTTTTTCTTCAATTGTTATTGTCACTCACACATACACACATACTCACACACACACATATGCATGCACACACTCACGCACACACACACAGACATACACAGACACACACACACACTATAAAGGCTGATGCTTAGACTACAAGTTTGGACCAGGCTGGTAGAGCGCTGTAAAGAACAGGGCCCTATCTCTAAGAGGACATAGGCCTCGTGGACTAGCAGGGTGGGGAGTGATGTCAGGCTTGCAAACTCACGTTTGGAGAAAAAACTGATCTTGGGTTTTGGGTCCACAAGGGGCTGCCCTTGGAAAAAGCACAACCCAGTGGCAAGTTAAAGGAAAACTGATTCAGTGTGCGGAATCTGTAAGTGAAACTGGCCCAGAGGGAAGGGCGCACAGTAACTTGCAAAGTCACCATGCAAGTAGTGCCAACAGCAATGGGAGGAGAGGGGGTGGGAGAGGCATGTCCCTGGAGGCTCCTGGGTTTCTGCAGGCAACTCTGTCCCATCTCAGAGGCACAGGTAGTCACAATAGCACAGTGACTGCAGAGCAGTGAGCTCTGGGACAGCTGTTGCCGTGTGGCCCAGTTCAAGCATGCTTGCATGTGGTCCAACTCACTGAGAATGCAATCTATCGATCCTTCTGGGTATCTCTCTGTGCGCCATTGAGAGCGATGTAGGAACAGACTCTCGAAGGGGCAACTTTCCAAACGCTCTTCCATCTGGGCACACCTTAGTAGACAAGCATGGTGGCGCATACCTGTGATCCCCTTACTTGGGTGCTAAAGGCAGGAGGATCAGGAATTCAAGCCCATCCTTTGCTATATATAAAGATTGAAGTTTTAGCCTTGGCTGTATGAGACTGTCTCAGAACAGCAGCAACTGGGCTGTGGTGGCACATACCTTTAATCCCAGCACTAGGGAGGCAGAGCTCGAGGCCAGCCTGGTCTACAGAGTGAGTTCCAGCATAGCCAGGGCTGTACACAGAAAAACCCTGTCTTAAAATAATAATAATAATAATAAAGAATTTTCAATTCTACTCAATTGAGAATGCGCTAGTTTACCCTCCTCAATTGTCTAGTCCAAAGTCAGATAGTTGTGACCTTTAAAAAACTAGCTATGTGGTGGTGCACACGCCTTTAATCCCAGTACTTGGGAGTCAGGGGCAGGCAGATCTCTATGAGTTTAAGGCCAGCCTGATCTACAAAGCAAGTTCCAGGATAGCCAGGGCTACACAGAGAAACCCTGTCTTGAAAAACCAACCAACCAAACAAACAAACAAAACAATAACAAATATACCACCCACTTCCCACAAACACATTTAAACAAACTGAAGAGTGAAGTCAGAAACCATCATGTTAGAAACACAGGACGGTTGATCCAAGGTGGACTTGATTAGTGTGAGGACCAAGGGACTCAGTATTGAGAAGAGGTTAACCCACCTGGGGCACATTAGGTAGAGAGTTCTGAAGTCATGGGTAGTGGAACAATTTTTAAATTAATTAATTAATTTTTATTTTATGCGCATAAGTGTTTTATCTGCATATGTGTTTGTGTGAGGGTGTCGGATGCCCTGGAGGCAGAGTTACAGCAGTTGTGAGCTGCCATGTGGGGGCTGCTAATGGAACCCAGGTCCTCTGTAAGAATGGCCAGAGCTTCCAACTGCTGAGCCATCTCTCCAGTCCCAGTGGAACACTTTTTTAAAAACAGAGGACATTTTCAATAAAGCCCATATCCTAAAGTTTGCTTGAATTTTTTCTTTAGAAACTCTACTCACATCAGACATAGAGTCCATAACTGTGATATCAATACTCTGCAGGCTGAGGCAAGAGCTTCATAAATTCAAGGCCAGCCTGGGGGGGGGGATCTCTGTCTAACTATATATAAAAAAAAAAAAAACAAAGAAAAATAAAAACCCCTCAATAGAAGGGAATTGTCTGTAGTCCAGTCCCAGCCATCCATGTCCTTACATAGCTCAAGAACTTCCTAGAAACTGAGTCACGGCAGCCAGTGGCTGAGGAACTGCACCTCTCTTTCCTGCACCTTTTTATTTATTTATTAAAGATTTCTGTCTCTTCCCCACCGCCGCCTCCCATTTCCCTCCCCCTCCCCAATCAAGTACCCCTCCCTCGTCAGCCCTCAAGCCAGATCCAGCATTCAGGGGCCTGAAAGATTCACCCGCCAGAAAACCCGCACTCCCGCTGAGTCTTCTTTGACGGCCTGGACAGACCCAGCTTCTCTGTGAAAGCTAAGACTGAAGAGACTTGACACGTGATCTCAGAGAATCCGGTGACTCACCCACTAAAGGTCAAATTAGCTGTCAAGACCGCTTGCCTGCCGGGTTTCTGAGCAGCCACGGGCTTGCCGAACAGGTCTAAACCAGTCTCCTGTCTGAGCAATCCCTCTCAACTGCTGCCGTCTTTTGTCTTGTGACCTACGAGTGCCATCCTCCCTGAACCCCAGCCAGACTCTGTGGATTCCGTGGCAAGGAATTTAAAAAATCTAATGCCAGTCAGAGTAAGGTAAGCAACGCTCTTCAGCAAAGCAGTTTTCTGCTCAGTGGAACTTTCCATCCTAACGTGCTTAACCTCTGACCCTTAACAGAAATGGAAATGTTTTTCTGGGTGCCCAGGGGCCAGAGGAAACTCTCTTGAGTCTTACTAATTATGAACAGGTATACCAGGCAGCAGCTGGGAGTGCTTTCCTTCCCCTCCCCTCCCCTCCCCTCCCCTCCCCTCCCCTCCTCTCCCCTCCCTTTCCTTTCTTTCCCTTTCTTTCTCCTCCCCCCTCCTCTTCCCTTCCTCCCTTCCCTTCTTTCTCTCCTTTTTTATTTTTGAACAGGGTCTCACTACCTTTGGGTGGCCTGGAGCTCACTGTGTAGACCAAGGAACAGTCTGATCTTGAGCTCACAGAAGACCTGCCCACCTCTGTAGGAACCCCACAGTGAGGTTTCTTATTTATGAACTAAGCCCTCCACAGTTCACACACCTCCAGACCCAGATTCTGGCCCCATAGTATAAAAATGAAGAATCAAAAATGAATAAAGTTTCAGGGCAGCCTAATCTACATAGTGAGTTCCAGGAGAGACCCCCATCTCAAACAACAAAAATGAATAAAGGAGAAATGAAGGTGGAGAGGAAAGAAATTCAAGTTAACCCCAGTAAGATGAGAAGTACTACAGACTAAACAGTGTAGACTAGGACGGATAGAACTAATAATTCTAGGCCATTATTGTTACTTTTATACTAATAATGTTATTATTTTTAACGCTTATTGTTATTTTAAGTATATCAATGTTCTGCCTGCATGTGTGTCTGTCCACCATGTACATGTAGGCCAGAAGAGGATGCTGGATCTCCTGGGACTGGAGTTAAGACACTTGTGAGCCTCCATGTGGGTGCTGGGAATTGAATCCAGGTCCTCTGGAAATGTGTTCAATCCTTTTAACAGCTGGGGCATCTCTCCACTGCCCCAGATCAACTTCAGACAAGAGTAAGATGATCTGAGGGTACACCTCACAAGGAGACCCCATCTTATCACGAATAGGCCCTGGCCAAACACCCAGTGCTAAAATTAAATACATACATAAATTTATGTAATTACAAGTAAAACAGACAATTTGGAAGGCAACTTTGGAATTTGTGTGTGTGTGTGTGTGTGTATGTGTGTGTCCGGTGTGACTTCAGACTTGAGATTCTTCCATTGCAGCCTCCTGTAAGTTAGGATTACAAACACACACCATCATGCTTATTTCAATATTTTGACCAAGAAAGATATTTCTTGGCATTTGTCCTGCAGTAAGACACCAAGTAGATCCAAGAATGTGCAAGGATATCCAAAACTGTATGGTATTTGAAGACTGAAAACCAAACACTGCCAAATCCCTCAACAACTAAGTAATGAGCACCAGCTCCATGTGTTTGCTCGGCCTCACGTTGTCAATGTGTTCTGGGTCCTATTTCTTCCATTCTCAAGGACTTTGTCCGACTGCCCTCTCCTCCTCCACTGGCCCCTCCACTGGAGAGGTGTATTGTTCCTGTTGGTATAAAGCGTGATGTCATCAGATTTAAAAGCAAACACTTGCATCCCCAGCTGTCCCATCTCACAGTTCGGGGCCACACTTAATTTGTGTGTCCCTCCAGTTGCCGCATGCACCTTGCCTTGTTTTTCTTTGAGCCAAAATTCTAGTTTGTGTCTCCACCACTTTGGCAAATTCAAACATGATGCTTGGTTCTCCCTTGTTTTCATTTCCCTGTTGAAGTGTTTGGCAGACAGACCAGCACAGGACAAGACAGGTGTTCTTGCTCTTTCTGGAGGATGCTCCCTCTTAACTCACCATTTTATTGGCTTCCTCCTGGATGCTGAGGTCCACACCGCTCTGTCAGAGGCTCAGCTTCTCCATGCCTACATCCTTCCCTTCCCGGCGATCCCCCCTACCCACAGCCTTCAATGACATCTAAACAGATGACTTCTGGATATTTCTCTCAAAACCTAATAACCTTTCCGTCACCCCAAGAGGGCACAAAACCTGTGACCATTTCTACTTTGATGTCTAATAGATCACAAACCTGCCCTCCTAGTCAGCATTTCTTTTCTCCACGTATGCCTTTTAAATCCTGAGCTTCCTCCAGTTTCTTCCAGATTATCTGGTGTTCCTGCCAGCTACCCACGTGCTCAGGATATCTGTCACAGGCCCAGTGAATCCCATATCCAGTGTGTTCCTGAGTCAGTCCATACCCAGTGTGTTCCTGAGTCTCACTGCCCTCGCTGGACTCCTGGAACCTTTGCATCCAAGCTTTTCTCAGATGCCCACTCGAGTCAGTTTATAAAATCATAAGGAAGATGACATCCCATGGCTGCGCATAGCCTCAGGTAAGCTGGGTAAGAGGAAGCAAGCCTGGAACCTCAGCCTTTGGGTGAGTAAGGCGGGATCAGTAGTTCAAGGCCGATCTGCTCTAAATGAGACCCATAGTTTGCTTTCTAGTGCTGTGATAAATACCATCATCACCACAAGCAACATGGGGAAAGAAACACCTGCCCCAGGTGGCACCACCCCCACTGGGACCTCCCACTTCAATCATTAATAGAGAAAATTCTCCCAGAAACAGGTCTCAGGCCAATCCTATGGAGGCAATCTCTCAACTGAGATTCCATTTTACCAGAGAGGTCTAGGTTTGTGTCAAGTTGACAGGACTAACTAGCACAGACTGTTTCATAAAACCAAAACACTATAAAAGCAAAGCAAAGCGAAGGGTGATGTGTCTGTAATTCTGACATCCAGAGACTGAGGCTGAGGATGGACACGCGTCCAGTGCAAGCCTGGGCTACCTAGTGAGGCTTGTCTCAAACAAAACAGAAAATAAAAATACACATATTTGGTTTCTAGCCATAAATAAAGGACATTGAGCCTATAATTCGGGTTCCTAGAGAAGCTAAATAAGAAGGAGAACCCAAAGAAAATCATATAGGCTTCCTCCTGAATATTAACCTTCATCAGGCGATGAAAGGAGACAGAGACAGAGACCCACATTGGAGCACCGGACTGAAATCTCAAGGTCCAAATCAGGAGCAGAAGGAGAGAGAGCACAAGCAAGGAACTCAGGACCGCGAGGGGTGCACCCACACACTGAGACAATGGGGATGTTCTATCGGGAACTCGCCAAGGCCAGCTGGCCTGGGTCTGAAAAAGCCCGGGTTAAAACCGGTCTCGCTGAACATAGTGGACAATGAGGACTACTGAGACCTCAAGAACAATGGCAATGGGTTTTTGATCCTACTGTACCTATTGGTTTCGTGGGAGCCTAGGCAGTTTCGTGGATGCTCATCTTACTAGACCTGGATGGAGGTGGGTGGTCCTTGGACTTCCCACAGGGCAGGGAACCCAGATTGCTCTTTGGGCTGACGAAGGAGGGGGACTTGATTGGGGGAGGGGGAGGGAAAGGGGAGGCGGCGGTAGGGAAGAGACAGAAATCTTTAATAAATAAATTAATTAATTAAAAAAATAAACAGCAAAATAACCACAGCAATCAGTTCAGACATTCTGGGTCATTTAGAATAAACGACACGTTTCTCATGGCGGTCCTTACACGAGTGCTACAGAAAGTCAGGCTGGCTGCCAGTCATCTGCTCAGCTTCTAAAGCTCTCCGTGGCTGAGATTAGCTCCGGAAATCAGACCAAGCGCGGCCTAGATGACGACCACGCATTCAATGTTGGGAAGTATGTTTTAACTTTGTGGTGCTAAAGGCAGGACCCTGCAGGACCTTCATCATGTCGGACTAATGCACTATTACTATTTAGTGTTAAAGAACTTGAGAAAATAATGGGAAGTTCCTGTATACATATCCTCCTAGAATCTCCAACTGTTAACATGGCTCCCCCATTTGTCTTATTTACACCCCTACTCCTGTCTCTCTGTCTCTGCCTCTGTCTCTGTCTCTGTCTCTGTCTCTCTCTCTCTCTCTCTCTCTCTCTCACACACACACACACACACACACACACACACCATCTTTCTTTTCCTCTTGTAGCAATTGCGTAGGCAGAACAAACTATGACCCCCTGGTACTTGAGTGTGAGCCTGAGCTGCAGGGACCTTCCTGTTCACAGCCACCATCTCCAGGCGCCTAACAGTGACTTGCTAAACCCCCCTAATTCACAGACTTCCATCAGATAGTCACTACTCTCTCCACCATTTTGATTTCCTTTAATCCGGGACACCTCAGACAGCCTTATCTTGTATTAACCTGTCATTTTAAAGAGCATAGGTTATTAACAGTGTAATTGCCCCCTGGTTTGAATTAGTCAGATGTCGTTTTGAGATTTAAGTTTGTCATTCTTTGCTAGGAATACTATAGTGGTAAGGCTGCGTTTTTCTTATTGTATCACACCAGGGTGACAGGACTTGCGTCACTGTGGACACTCTCATCATCACACGGTTATTTGCGGAATATTTTTTATTATAAAGTTAATTAATGAGTACTTTCTGTTCACTGGGTAATAAAAGGTAGAAGTTTCCTTGTTTATTTATTTGTAGCTATTGCTATGATGTATTTATATCCGATTTTGTTCATTAGGAGATGACTTTTAATGCAGCTAACTGACAATCTCTCCAGATTGTCTCGAATTTGGCCAGTGGACTTCCCACAAAGCTGACCTTTGGCATGGCCCCTTCATTCTCTGAGCTCTTTACTCTAGAGACTCATCTTACTTTGCCTTGTCCCCACCTTGAAGCAGCCCCTCCTCCAGGGAGCATTAGATGTCTGCATTTGAAGGTATTTTAGAGACCAAGATCAGGAGGTGTGAATGTTCCTTGTGCCCCTGTATCATGTTATATGGGGACCATCAGGATGGAGCCAGACTGTCATGTTATATGGGGACCATCAGGATGGAGCCAGACTGTCATGTTATATGGGGACCATCAGGATGGAGCCAGACTGTCATGTTATATGGGGACCATCAGGATGGAGCCAGAGTGGCAATCTGCTTCATTGCTACAGGTTTTCATTTTGATCACCTGCACCCGAAACTTCTAGCTGCCAGATAGCATCTGTTAACCTGAGATGCCTGGTTTCTAGCCTTCTCCACCCTGTCCTATGTCTCAAAGCTAGTATTATGTGGACCACAATAACCAATTCCCAAATCCTTTATCATTTTTGGCTGGCTTTGATCAGTGAGATGCCACTGCAGAAAGGGAGCAGGGTGTGTTTGCTGCAGCATCTTGCTGTATTACCCCATGTGACCTTGAACTCCAGGCAGTTCATCCTATCTCTCCCAAATGCTGGGATTACAGCATCGTACCATCATATTTTTGAATTATTTTTGAGACAGGATCTCACAAGTGGCCTGGAATTCCTTATATATCCAAGGATAACATTAAACTCATATTTGAGGTGGGCAGTAATGGTGCATGCCTTTAATCCCAGCACTTGGGAGGCAGAGACAGGTGAATCTCTGTGAGTTCATGGCCTGGTCTACAGTGCGAGTTCCAGGACAGGTTCTGAAGTTACAGAGAAGCTCTGTTTCAAAAAATTAAAAACCGGAAATCAAAAAACAAACAAAACAAACAAACAAAAACAAAGAAAGAAAAAGAAAAACTCATATTTGAAATGCTGGTAATATGAAGAACAACCATATGGTTTATCATCTAAACATGGAAAGTAAAAGAGGGTGTTATTAATAATTTGGCCAGGACAACAGGCATAAACACTCATAAGTATGAAGGAATTTTTGGCATGCAGTCACCCTAGAATAAATTTACTTCCATAATATTTAAAATATTTAATAATACAGCCACATATAGTAGCATACAGGACAGGACAGGACAGCTCTTGTTAGCTAGTCCCCTGTGTTCATCATTGCTGTGCACTGAATGCTTGTGTCCCTTCAAGTTCATGCGCTGAAGTCCTAGCCTTTAGAATGATGGACTTGCAGGGATGACCTTGGGGAAGTAACCAGCTCAGGAGTTGAAGCCCTAGAGGTAGGATTGGTGCACTTGGAAGAGGGACACTCTGGTGGGGTGTAAGTCAGTGCTAGAGCACCTGTTCATGGCCTGTGGTGGTTCAGTCCCCGGAGAGAGGGCAGAGGAGAGAAAGAGGAAGAAGTCAGAAGACCTGGACTTCAGCGTCATAATTAAACCACTTGGACCATGGTATTTTGTGATGATAGTCCAAATTGATGGCACCAGTCGTACCGCTGTTGGGAAGTATGATTTGTGGGCCACTTTCTATTCCACAGCAGAAGGGAAGGCCTGTGTTTTGAAGAGAGTATACTTGGCAATAAGTCTATTCCTATAATCTTGTGCTAATGGAGCGATACAAAGCCTAGCACAGCAGTTTAAGTGATGGATGCTGACAACCCTGAGTTCACGGCTAATGCCTCCCATTGCAAGCCAAACCTGTTCCTTTGCCTCTCAGAGCCCCTTCCCCTCTCTTAGCCCCACAGAGTGGGGAAAGTAATAATACCAGCTTCGCAGAGCTGTTGTGTGCATAGCACAGATAAAGGAAAGAACGAGTCATCCCATGCGGGTGACCAAAAAGTGAGACTTTTGATACAGGCTGTGATATGAGATGGCAGGCCCCACATGCCCACCAGGTATGACGCGACGCAAGAAGGGTTACTTTTTGCCCCTACTCAGGGGAATCTCAGGGTCTTATAACTTGAACAATCATAACCTTACTGCTGGATTTGACGGTACCCATCTGTGGTCTCAGCACACGCTGAGGCAAGAGAGAACCTTGAGTTTGAGGCAGCCTGGAATATATAGTGAGCCCTGTCTATCTATCTATCTATCTATCTATCTGTCTGTCTGTCTGTCTGTCTGCCTGCCCGCCCGCCTACCTACCTATCTATGTGGCCAGACTGAGCAGGAGACATTTCAATTAAAAGTAAATTTGGAAGACCCGAGTTGTAACTCGGTCACAGAGTACTCGATTGGCATACACAAGACCCTGGGTTCAATTCCCAGTTCCACATGCACATACAAAGTAAAGCTGAGTATTATTCAACTCAGAGAACTGTTTTATGGAGTCAACCTGATAGCAAACACAAGGACTTTCTCATTGTGTTACCATGATTAATGTTCCATACATGTCTGGGGTTCAAGATGGCGACTCCTTAAAAGCCTGGCCAAAGGCTCACTGAAGGAAGTTCACAATGGAGCAGGCTCTGGAGTATTTTTTTCAGAGTGGTTGGCATGTCCTTTAATCTGCTTGGAGGGCAGTATTGAAGGGCAATATTTAGATTTAAAAACTCTCTTTCCCGACCATACGGCAACAAAGAAAAAAACAAAATAGGTTTCTTTTCTTTCCTGTAGGATTTCAGTTGTTAATGAAGCTTCTATTGTTTAGCATTCATGTCAGTAAAAGAAATGTGTGGA